CAGGCAGAATAGCTCTGCCTAATTGCCTTTGGTAAAATGTCAGCGTGTGCCTGAAAATCTGAGGGCGTGGAGGTGCCAGTCAGTCAGGGAAGGACTGCTTAGGTAAACATTTATGGCTTTGGTAGTTTGAACAAACTGTCGTTTTTGTGTGTGGTGGCTGGAGGGGGGGGGGGGTCACACCATGCAGTGCACGGTTGCACACCGCTGTGGTGAGGGGCTGGCATGACAAACAGGAGCTGCCGATCGCAAACTGAGGAGATATGTCAGTATGTGTCATCAGCTATTCTGCTGCTGATTAGTCAGGTCTTGGCTCATCTTTACCCTTGGAACCCCACGTCCTTTTCGCCCAAGTGAAGAGCCACCTCTCTGCCTTCACGTGCTGCCCTGCTTTGTAATGACCAGTTGAGGGTGGGTGAGAGAGCGTTGGAGCTGTGGTCACACTGGTCACACTGGTGGTCCTGATGCCATTTAATAGTATGAATCGCAGTCAGCCCAAACACTGCTCTGAGATAGGCCCTCCACGTTCCGGGCTTAGGGGATGGGGGGCAGCGCTGGGTTACAGTGTCACTGTGATGTCATTTCTCTGGGTGAGCGACTGGTCTGAAGTAACCTCTGTGAAGGGGATATCTTGGTGGGAGGGGTATTTGGGGGCAGAGGGTGGTGATGAAGAAATACAGCTTGCACACCTTCGCACAGACCTGTGCTGCCTTCCCCAGCCTCCGCTTACCCCCCCCCCGCTTCCCCTCCACTCTCCTCTGGGCTTCAGAGTCCAGACCTGGGCTAATTGTTATTTACCTCGTTAATTACCCTTCTGTCTGTGGGTCTCTCCTAAAGCCTCGCTGATTTAGAAGGCTCTTGACAGGAGAGCGGGAGGAGGAGGCGTGAAAGCCGGGGGGGTACGTCCTCCTCAGTGGCCATTAAATGTCAGGTGACCACAGCGTCTGGAAATCTGAGCATGGAAATGTGTGATTCTGCTCATTTCTGGATTGTGGTTTTGGATTTTTCTTTACAGGCTTGTAGCAGAAAGCTAAAACAGATGAACAGGACTGTAATGTAGGACTACAGGGGTATTGAGCTTCACCGTGTACATAAATCCAGTGGGTTTCTGTCTGCCGTCTCGAGCCAGTGCTCTCAGCCTGGCGCTGGCCCGCGTCAGGTGACTTCTCATTTAGGGGCGTTAGGGGGTCTGTCTTTGTCAAATCGATACAGCGCGCTACTCATCTGGGCTTTAAGCTAAACCCCCCACCGAACTACCGTCCACCCAACTCCCCACACCGCCGTCAGATTAATAAGAGAGGACAGACAGAGGAAATATTTCCTGGCTTTTTAAGCGCCGGCTGCCGGCTGATAAATAGCGGGGGCCCAGAATCAATTTCACCATTGATCTATGAGATAATCCTCTTCAGGACAGTGGGCCCGTGGTCCAGTCCTGTCCGCTGCCAGGATGAATGTCAAAAGAACAGCGCCCCCCACCCCACCCCCCCCCCTCTCGTCAGGCTGGGTCAATGCCCTGTCTGCGGGTCTTTTTTTTTTACCCCTCGTGCAGTGGGGGGTGGAGGGGGGAGGTATGAAAAACTGCAAACGGACAAAAGGGTTTTTATTCTCCTAATTGCTCGGACCGAGCTCTGGAATTGATGAATCGATCTTCTTTACTGTTATGTGTGAGGAAATGAGGGATATGGGTCGACACTATTTTAAGGTGGGTGTGTGCAGGCCGGCGCTCTGTGGTTTTATGGCTAATCGATGAGCGGTGGGCAGCGGCAGACGGGGTGCGTGTGGAGCGGGTGTGCGGACAAGGCGAGATGGTTTTCGGGAGGGATGGTACACTCATACGTTACTTCCGTCGCCGTCGACGGGAGGTGCCCGCGGACCCCTCAGCAATCAGAGCGACTTAGTCAGCTGTCAGTCACACATTTATTATGACGAATGGGGCACTAAGACAGAGACAAATCTCTCCATCCGCCTCCTCCCTGCCCCCCCCCCCACTGTCTGGCTCCTCCACTAAACAGTCCCAGATCTCCTTTCCTCTGATGCTGCAGTTCAGAATTAAGCCAATCTGTCTTCATATTACTGCTGCTGTATATATAAGCCTGACCTGGCAGCCTGCCATTCCATCCAGACAGGAATCATTTGCTACCCATAATGCTCTGCCTCCCTAATTTGATTGACAGGACAAGTCTTGTCGCTCCTGTTCCCCCTTCTCCCTCTGCTCCCCCCAGAATTACTGTCACAAGGTTTTATCAGTAAATAACACACATTTCATTATGTCGAGGATAGATTCAAACTGGCAGGTAGATTTCAGCTTTTATTCATTTTCCTCCCTTTTCGAAATGTCCTACATCTCTTCCTTGACTGTGGAGGAGTAAGGAGACTCCTCGCACAAACCTCGACCACGGCGTCTGACGGAGGGGTGGAGCGTGCGGCCAGCTGGAATTCGTCGAGCCCAAACCGCTTGGCTCAGCACCGGCGCAGCCAAAATGCCAAGGCGGCCGTGTAAATGAATCATGCCATTCATAAACGGGGACATAAGGGGAGTTTAAAGGAAGACTGTCCGGAGACAGGCAGGCACAGGTGCTCTGTGCTAAACAGGCCTCAGGCAGAGGGGTAAAGGTTTGGATGATTTATACCAGGAGCATTTCACCTTCTGCAATGATCCTGTCATTCATCTAACACAATAAAAGCATCATTGGTAACCTAACAACGCTGTTAATGCTACCACATTTAATTGCATATAAGATGACTTTATCCATCTGTCTCCTAAAACCACTTACGCAGTCGTGGCGCTGATTGTTCTATCTGAAGTGAATTGAACTGGCCGCCACTCGCAGGAATTAGCTACACTGGCCATTACGTGCTTTTTTTTTATCTTGATTCCTAGTGCCTTTGAACTATTCTACACCAAACATGGAAATTAGATGTTTATCCTGGAAAATGTATTTTTCCTTCTGCTCCAACAAAAAGCTGTCGAGCGTTTGGGGACGTGAGGCCATTGCGTGGGTGGGGGTGGGGGTGGGGGGACTCAGTAATCTGGTCTGGCAGAGCTATATGATGGCTTCTTGTCAGTCTTTTTTTTTTTTTCCCTGACAGGTCTCTGGGAATTCAGGCAAATCGAAATTCCCTCACACGCCAACTCTTCCTGTGATGAAACATGACAAAGGACGATTTTACTCATTTGTTATCCACTTGGATGAGGCACAAACAATGAGGGCGATTATGGAAATCACAGTGACAGGGCAAATCACATCCCTTTCCAAAGCACATTATCTCCAAAGTCTGTGGGCTTCTTGGTTGCTGGAATTTTAATTTTAATTCAGGAGCTGAATAAATATCTTATTTTTTATTTTTTGAGTCTTTTAATTCCGATTGAAAGATGCTCGGAACATTTGATTCACTCGTAATGACGTACGGCGTGAACAGGTTTTCTGTTTTGGCCCGTAGCTAAAGACGTCGTAACCTGCGATGCTAAATTTGCATCTTAAAGAGTGAGCGCATCTCCGTGGTATATTTTCCGACGCTTAAACGTGACCTGGGATCAGTACAGCTGCTCTGTGCTGCACGGCTGTGTGGAAATGAAAGCGTGTGATGTTTCTTGTTCTGATTGGCTGGGGTTATAGTTCAGGTTATTTAAATTAAGTCTGAGGGAATAACGATATAATGCTTCACAATCGTTTTCTTCCTGGGTTTTGCATGGATGGGAACGTGGGGAATGTGGCCTCACGCATGTGGACGTCGTCATTGGAGGATGTACCCAAACGCCTTCGAGCTGCACTTGATGAGGGGTTGTCTCGGTTTAGTCTGATGTGTCAGTCTGTAAATGACACGGTCCAGCTTTGAGGTCCTAAACGTGGACTTTCATTTGCTGCCGTCACCTTTAGCTCGCCGGTTCGATTAAACCGGGAAGCGGTCGCCCCCACCCAGTCCAGGGGCTTGGGGGCACAGCTCAGGGTCCGGGCTGGTTCTACTCTGCCATGGGATGGGGCATTTGTTTTTATTCCCCCCCCTGCTGGAGTGGCTGAACAATGCAGATGTATTC